ACAGACTTCTGGAATTGAGCCATGGGAGATATTAGATAAGATACCAGCCGATGGTATTGCGATTACTGATCTGATAAAACAGTTCCATGGCAGGGTTGGCGACCGTCCAGGCCAAATGCCCAGAGGAGACTGGATAAAATTGGTAAAACGGCTCTGCGACTACGGGTCGGATAGGCGGCTTAGACGCCGAAGATAGACTCTTTTGCTGTGATGATTCTGGTACCCGGCAGGGCACAAACGACAACTTATTGGCGTTGAGATAAAAGATTGACGGGGGTATCTTGCAGTATATATATAAATTATTCATCCATTTGCCATGAATAATCTAGACCCTTGATTCTGTCCCGCCGGTTTATGGCGTTGAACCTCTCTGCCTCGAGACCTGTGCCTCGATCGACCCCATCCCAGCGATATCCGGGTTTAATGCCATATCGATTCGGCGGGACTGCTCCAGCATACATTGGCCGGCGTCTTGTAGCGGACTTTTGAGGCCTTCCTTTGTTCTTCTTATCCCTTAGGAATTGAAGCATCGGGTCATTCCACCTCTCCTGTTGCTTCAGTTCATTGTTCATACCTTCATCGTCCGCGCTCCGAGAAAATGGAAGAAGCTTAGCATCTTCCAGTTGCTCTCTTTTTTTTTGCGCGTCATTCATCTGTACAGCCCCTTTAAGAGCTTGCTTTGCTAGCTGAGCTTTATCTTCAGCCTCAGCGGCTGCCTTTCTGGCTTCAGCCCGTTTCATGGATATGTCGATTCTTCGTCCTGTCGCGTCGCGATAAACGGTTTCTTCTTCCTTTGCAGATCTTCTGTGGCGCTCAAACTCCCTGCGCTCTTCCTTTTGCCTCCGTTGGAGCTGGGCGGAAACTGCCGCAGCGGTCTGGAGACCAGCATGGGTGCCGTCGCTCATCATAACTAGCCCATCATTTCTCTCAACAGTCGGCATTTCGTCATTGGTGCTTCGTCTCGATTCGTTTTCTGCAGCAGTTGAAGCAAGAATTGCATCAGCGGCCGCTGCATCTGTGTCCACCTTTGTCGCTCCCAAGCTCTTCCAATTGCTTTTAGTGGTTTTGCGAAATTCAGATGTAGACCCGGGAACTATTAATGGCAGCTCTTCTCCATGTCTATCGGCCGCTGAGTCCGGATGAATCCAGGATTTGTCATCGTCATCCGTAATAACAAGTCCGTTTGCTGTAGACTGTTTTCGTTTGCGCTTCTTGGAGTGAGGCTTAGGGTCTGCCACAAGGTATCGAGAGGCCAGGTAATTTGACAAATCCGAGGGCATTATTATGCTTGAGTAAAACTCTTTTCTCAAGTATTCGAGTTTGTTTGCAGAAGAGAAGATATGATTCGGCCCAAAAAGCTGTGCCCAATTTGTGTGAGTTGCAATCGACCTAACCACACTCGGCCCGATTTTGAGGATAATAATCAACGCGACTTCAGAACGTGGGTGCTGTCAGTGGCAATTCATATTCTGGTGTTGACGTTACGAAGTACCCCCTACCTGCATCTATTTACCCGCCTGAGTAGGTAAGTAGGTATCCGGCACATGGTACCAAGTGCCCTGCAATATGCTTATGTAATGCCTAAAGCATGGACATATGTCCGTCCCCGATTACGTCGGCCACACCCTTGGGGTGATGATCATGTGTTGTCATATTTGTAAAACGCCTCTACAACAGCAAGAAGCTCCAGGTGAGGTCATGCAATTTCCATTTTGCGCATCAAATGCATTATAACATGCAGAACCCTATTTAAATTCCTCAAAACTACGCATTCGATCTCGCGACCACTCCTCAGTAGCCACAAGAGTTGATCAGCGAATTTCCGGCCGACGCTGTTAGCACGCCGAGACGTCGCCTTAATGCCATCGCCTGAACAAAATGCATATCCGAACGATACGGTTCATGCACTTCCACTTGCTGCTGCGACGGCCTCTATGAAGCCAACAAGAGCCAAGATCTCAACATCCGCTGTTGAAAGACTCCCCCCATCTCCCTCAGACTCTAGTTTACCTTTCAGGATGTCCAATCCTTCTGCAGCTTCCTTATATGCTTCAACATTATCCCCTCCCAGCTCTAGGCCAATGTCACCGGCTATACAAGGCTCTTCGGTTACAATTTCAGAACCAGTATTCGATGCTTATCCCGGGCGCGGCATATCGGACTCAGTCTTCGACAAGCCAGGAGAACCAGTGCATGAAATTATTCAAGCTTTCGTCCCAAACGTATCGGTGTACGCCTCTGATGATACAGAAATTCTGATCAAGGAGAAAGGCTTTCGCAATGGTCTCTGGGAGTTGTTACGGCCTTTTGGCGAGAACATTCAAGGCAACGTCACAGTACGGGATAGTCACGGAATGAGCCGTGTATTTGAGGACTTTGCTATCCGATTCACAAAATTGGGTGAGAATATTCAGAATCTAGGTTCAACTGTCTCAAACTCTCAGCGGACATTGGTCAATACCAATCAAAAAAGTGCCGAAGAAAACACGGAGAGAGACAAGGTTGCTCTTGCTCAGATCGAGAGCGTCGTTGATCGGCATTTATCCTTTGCTGAAGGTTCGATTCCTAGGCCGCCCTCACCAGCACTGGACACTTTACGGCAAGGTCTAGATCGTGATTCTGCATCACCATACTATTCCCTATATTTGAGGCGCTTATTGTCCGGCACGCCGATTACACCACACGAAACTTTCGCCCATCCTGTGGCTTGTGTCATAGCTATTAGCTCTCGAAATGGCGCACCTATTGAAGAATTGAGGAGACTGTACTCTGAGAGTAATGAGGGTAACAGAAAGCTGCCTCTTTGGGCGGACAACGACTATCTCAGATATTATGTCCTTGTTCACGATGAAGAAAATGATGACATCACCCGGTCAATGGGCTTCTTTGAGCAGATGAAGCGCCACCTAGGTCTGCATTGTCACCTTCTCCGATTGCGATGCAGTAAAAGCGCGGAAACAGACGACGACAGCATGCCACTGCCATGCAGTGATTGGATGCCCGCTGCCGAGGAGCTGGCTAGGATTCACAGGAGTGAGGATGGGGAGGATTTTGAAGACCCCACGCAGTATATCTTTGAATCTGACGCAACGGCAATACGAACATTTGTTCGAGAAATGGTTACACAATCAGTTATTCCCACAATGGAGCGGCGTATCTCAGTATGGAATGACCAGGTTGCATCACGCCGAAGAGGCATCACAGGTCGTTTCATGAATTTATCTCGGAAATGGACAGGATTTGGAAGCACCTCCAGATCTTCCTCAAGTGGGAGCCACTCAAGGGATAACTTTGATCATTTGGGGTATTACCGCGCTGATTCGGCCGAGGCTATCATTCGAAAGCTTGCTGATTTCGCTTTCATGCTGCGGGACTGGAAGTTGGCTCATTCAACATATGAATTATTGCGTTCGGATTTTGGTGAGGCAAAGGCTTGGAAATATCATGCAGCTGCGAACGAAATGGCGGCACTCAGCTTATTGATGACAACGCAAATCTCGGCCTCGAAGACACGCGCAGACTCCGTTGATCAAATGCTCGAGTCGGCATTTTACTCATATAACACCAGATGCAGTGCTCCATTTGGTGCCATTCGGTGTTTGCTCCTTGGCTTGGAGTTGTTGAGGGCAAAGGGGGGTGCGTATGTCGATGATGCCAGCAGATGGGGTCTTCGGTTGCTTGAAGCCAGGATTTTAGGGCCAGTCGGTGATGCTTTACTTAAAGAGCGTCTCTGTATTTGCTACTTATCTAAACTCGGCGTTGGTAGCTGGGGCTGGGGCAGTCGATATCGGAAAGCCGCCATATGGAGTATACTGGCTGCACAATCCTGGAATCAACAGGGCAAGTATCTCCCAGCCCAAAGATGTCTGAGTGAGTGTCACAACATCTATGGATTCCTACCCCACAGCAAAGGCATAGCACAGTTTCGAACCGCAGAAGAATACATGCACTCTCTAAGACTTGAGGTTCTAGAGAAACTTAATTTGCCTGATGCTGCTAGGTCGGATCCGGGAAGAGAGGGCACTCCAGTCATCGATGTTGAAAGCCAAACATTCACGAATTTGCCTTCCAAAAGGGCAAGCACGATTTCGAGAACTGGCATGTTGGAAACAGCTCCACTTCGAGGAGAGATCACGGCCGACTAGGTCAATACATGACCATCACGAGACTGTTGGAATACCCATCCAACCAAGGAGGCATATAAATATAAGTCCTTCCGACTGAGCAAAGGCCGACAAATGCTTTGTTCGTGGCTCATACAAAAAAAGGAGAGGTTTAGTACCTTGATGACATGTAATAATAACTTACGAGAGGACAGCAAGTGACCTTGCTTAGACTTGGGTACTTGAGTGCTAAGAAATCGCCAAGGAGCATTTCAGGCAGAGCTGGTCACGTTCCATGAGCTCTTACCAAATAGCTTCTTAGAGCTTTTGACTAGCCAAATCTTTTTTTCACTGTTTTACAAGAGTACCATCTAGTTGCCTCTCTACATGAAAACCACGTGGGCAGAAAGAAAGATCGTATAGAAGAATAGGTATTGATTGGAGAAGTAATACATAAGAAGAAATTAATAGCATCCTGAAGCCCGAAGCCGACGATTGAAGCTGATAAAGAAAGAAAACAAACAGTTTGTCACACGACAATGGGCGTGGCAACGTCACAGTACTATTTTACATGTGTTGTACCCCCTTGTCCTGTGCGACACAGTCCGAGATGCCAGACCCCACGAGGCCAACCAACCAGCATCCAATAAACCAAAAGGTGGGGCTTTGGACCGCTCCACCTCCCCCAAGCATCATTTTGTTTGGAAGCTCTCAAGGCGGCGGCATCAAAAGCAGGCAGTCAAAGAGCGCCCGCCTTGTTTCCCACCTAGCTCAAGACGCCGGGATGTTATCCTCTCGGGCTCAAATCTCCTAGTTTTTATCTACTGCAACGCCAGGAGGAGAGGCCTCTGGTCACCTTATCTTTGCTCACACAGTTATTCGTGCTAAGGAGGCGTCATGGGTGACCTGGCCGAAGTTCTTGCTGAGCACGACCAAAACTTCCGAAAGTATGATTCTGTACCATCTGGAAACCTCACAAACCCTTCGGGATTAGAATAATACTAATTCGTTCTATTTGTTTGCTCTCAGAGCACGATTACCAGCACTCTACAGCGACTTTCGGCCACAGAGAACACTTAATCCAGATGGGTATCGTGCAAATATCGTTGCTTGGCAAGGGGCGTTATCATGCTTGTTATTGAGGGGTCTGCTTTCAGGTCGTGGGCCAAATTCAAGTCTATTAGTTCTAAATGTCGATGAAAATCTCCCTCACGACTTGGAAAGCAAACGGTTTGGCCAACCCCTCGCCCTAGGGACTGCGATACGACAGGCCATAGCTCATCAAAAATTCATTTCTGTCGAAGAATTCTTACAACCCCAGGCCGCGACCTTTACCCGAAATCTGATATCATTATCTTGGAACGCTGCAGAGTGGACCTTCAGACAGTTCGGTATCAAGGACAAGATCAGTAACGACGATAGCGTTCCTATCGGGCAGTATGTTATTATGAACAATGTTGAGACAGTTTTCCAAGAATTTAAGCAGCAGGTTTCTGGGAGGACTTCCCACTTCGATCGAATATTTACTAGATTACAATTCCAATCTTTATTTGCGTCAACACTGGTGGCTGGTCAGTGTCTCTCAGAGGACGACTTGGAGGTACTCCTCACCTTTTCGTCTAGGGATAAGGGCTTCATCGACTATAGTGACGGCATAATACGTATTCGGAGTTCTTCAGATGAGTCGGGCATAGGCCCAGAGGACGTTGCGGTAGCGTCAATAAAAGAATTGACTGCGAATCTTCGACATCAAACTCTTGCCCTCAACATGCGAATCGACTCTCTCACCCGCGAAATAAAGACCGCACTAGCAAAAAACAACCGGGTTGTTGCGCAGGCTTCACTGAAATCCAGGAAGCTGGCTGAATCCTCACTTGCAAAGCGATATGCCACACTGAATCAACTTGAGGACATAGCTGCGAAGCTTGAGCAGGCATCGGATCAAGTCCAGCTTGTTGCCGTCATGAAATCATCTGCCAATGCTCTACACAGTCTCAATACCCGTATTGGAGGCAGTGATAGGGTGGACCAAGTGATGGAGCAAATCCGAGAGCAGATGTTGGAGGTAGATGAGGTGGCGGCGATCTTAGCAGAACCTACAGGAGAAACTATCGACGAGTCAGAAATACAGGACGAACTGGAGGCATTAGAGACCGAAACCCGAGAGGCAGCGCGTTTGGCCAAAGAAAAGGAGGAGGCGGAACACGAGGCTGGCAAAATCGAAGAATTGCAAAACGAATTAGCAAACTTGCCGAACGTCCCCGCTGAAATTCCTTCAGAAAGTGGCAAATCAAACACTCGGACGATTGAGAAACAAGTCGCTAGTCTATCTCTGGATCACAGCTAGGAAATACACAGAAATTTAGAATACTTTTCAGTTACAGTAGTATATTTAAAGCCCGACCACCACCAGAAATGGCCAAGCATTTTGGGTACAGACAGTTTCCACGAAGTAGTTTGAGCTTTTACCCGAAGTTAAACGCGATCAACCTAGGATTTACGACCGATCTGCCTCTTGGGGCGGCATTCAGACATCGGCTTCTCTGGCTGTGAAATGCATGTAGTACTCAAAGCATGACAACCGTCACACTTTCGTTTTCCGCCACGACATATGGATAAACTATATTTTACCGTATCCGCCTTTCCATTGTGCCACACACCCCGACTATCCCATCTACTAAGCATGTATTCATTACCGACCGCCAGTCTCGGTTTCTGATGAGTTTGAAGTGGCCAGACCCGACTCAAGCGCGTCCACATTAGCTGACTCCATGGCCACCGGTGTCGACGAAGTTTGAGTTGAAGCCTGCATTTGTGCTTCTTCTTCTTTAACTAGGCTGGATTTAAATGTTGCGGCAATGGAGACTCCTTGATCAATGGGACTCTGCCGCAATTCCGTTGTCAATCTATCAGATAGCTGACAAATTTCGGTTCTGTCATGCGTATCATCTATAGAGAAACAAGTATTGGCGTTTTGTTCTGCTCGGCCATGCATATCTTTTGTCGGACCCTTAGCTTCTAGCCTGCTTCGGCGCGCATTTGCAATCAAATCCTTGAAAGACGAATCGTGCTTTGCAGCCCAGGCAATGCCATCGAAATTTTTGTCCTTAATTGCGACCCCAGTCAAAGTTGTCTTTGCCGCAGCGTTTGCTCGATGACCCTGCGTCTTCTCCCAGACGTCCAGGTCTTGCAAAAGCTGTGATTTTTTTCTAGGTATGACGGAATCACAATTAGCATTCCAAATGGTAATCCACTCTTTGTGGCGTCTTTCCAGGATTAATCGAGGCCCTTGGTTGGATATTCCCAGCTCAGCCAACATTTTTCGTAATGCCTGTTCCTTTAGCATCGAGTAATTGAGGGCAGGGAGTCGTTCCAAAGTCGTTTGGAGCCGGGGTTGCTGCGCCTGTAGTACCCGTCCAGAGGGAAAAGTTTTGATCTCTGCCGATTCAGATATTGGCCCTGGACATGTTTCTAGATGTTGGAAAACTTTCCAAGCCTTCATTTGCTTTTGGCATGATGGACATGGCACAAGGGAGTCAGCTGACAAAATGTTAGCAAGATCCCAGTCAACTATTCGAGGGCAGCGAACCATGTCCTGTGTTATGTTCAGAATAATCATCATCCTCATTATTGCCGCTTTCATCGTCATCGGAGGCAGGGATAGTTTCGTCACCCTGCTTTTGCGCCTGAGATGTCTGATTTAAGTTCTCACGTCGACGATTGTTTAGTCGCGCAGATGTCCGTATGCGTTTGGGTTCGGAGGACACAGCGTTCGCAGTCGGCTCATCGCCTTCGATTTTTCGTTTGCAAGAAGCCGACGTGTTCAAACTGCTACGGGCTACGGCCAACGCTGAGGGTCGTACTTTTGAAAATGCTTCGACAGATTCTTCCATCGACCAATTACTTCGCAGTTTGAGCTCTTGCTCGGGAGCCCGGCATAAGGGACACTTGCTATCATTGGACAAGGCTCGTCGTATGCAAATAGAGCAGAAGGTATGTGAGCATGTCGTAATCATCGGCGTCTTATAAAAATCCTTGCAAACTTGACAGCGCAAGGCTGCCTCAACAGCAGCCAGGCCGGCAAGGCCTGTACCAAGCCAGTCTGTCGAGTCAGACACATCATCCATTGGCATTTGGGCAAGGTTTCGCTATGCTCGTTATAATCGACGTCTTTTCTGTTCCTTGTCGAAATGCCGATTGCGCAATTTTAGAGCGAAGGCCAAGATCGTGAAGTAATCACCTCGGCATTCATTCGCGACTCGACGCGTTATGGGGCAAATGATACCTGTACGAAGTAATAAAGCCAGAAGGCAATCCAGACAACACCACACAACTCTTGTTAGCAGTATTTACAGGGCACTTCTAGTCAAATGTGCTTACAGCTTCATTGATAGAATCTGCAGCGTACTGCTCACGGGATCGTGGTAAGCAAGAATGAGAATTTACCCACGCTTTGTAAGTTGCCTACCTACCTAGGTGGTCGGTTCGATTTGAATACTGGCCATTGATCATAAATGGATTCACGTGACTTCGCGTCATATCTTGGCTCCTGGCGCGAAAACCCGAGCCGCGTTTCATGACCCCTACTACAACTCTATCGCTCTGTACAGTAACTGGAGAAGTGCAGTCAAGAATTTTTTTCAATGGACGAGCACAGGAAGTTTCTGGCAGATAAGCTACTCAGCGAGGGTCGACCGGTAAGCTCCATAGCATGGCACCCATATCCATCAACTGATCCATATCAAACTTGCAGATCTCTTATCGGGCCCTAAGCTCATCGCTGGATGTCCACGTCAACAGAGCTAAAGGGTAATTCTGTTATCTGTCCCATTGCTCAGAAATTTTCGCCTCAATTTTCTCCTCTAAGCTTCTTCTTGTAGTCTCTTTCTCTAACAAGTATGTGCAGCATGCTCTTCGACTTCCACAAGTATCAAAATGAACTGCTCTCAGACTCGATCTACGCCACATACCTTGTTTCTGGATTTGTTGCCGCCACAAATAAGATACCAGATGTTCCTCAAATAACCAGCTCGTCTGACCTGTCAGAAAGCTTAACACGAGTAGGGAGCAACAGGAAGCTGGCGCTTGTTGGGGAAGAAAATCTGCGAGGTTTGCCACATCCTCAGGCCGCCTATCATTTCGGGAAGAACCCATTTCTGATAACTGGGAAGATGTACTAGGAATTTACACAAGCGTAACATCAATCCATGTGTATGGTTTGTCACCAAACACAATGAAGGATTTTTGGCTCTACGAAGACGCAGTATACACAAATGATATTATGATAACTGACCGCAGGCAACTTCACGACAAGCATGGGGCTGTCTGCAATCCGCACATGCGTTTGCGAGAACGAAAATCACAGTTGAACTCACTTCCTTCTGGTCATGTGCAATCCATAAAGCAAGAAAGTGAGCCGGCCAGCCATAACAAGCAAAACACAATAGAGCCACGGCGGCAGGGGAAACAACAACCTGTTCCAAAGATGAAGGAGGTGGCTAGCACTTCAAATCGACCGGCACCAAAGACAATTTTACAGTCATTTGCAAAGACACCCATCAGTGCTCCTCCAAAATCTACGAAGCAGATGAAGCAAACTGACGAACCCACCGCCGCACTTTCCGATGATGGAGAGCCTGATGACACCGACATCCTATCTTCCAAATCCAGCTTGGCGTTGCATTCCAAGGCGAAGTCGCGCAAGGATAGAGAAGACGCCTTAAGGCGCATGATGGAGGAGCAGGAGGAGAAGGAAGAAGAAGAAGAGGAAGAAGAAGAGGGAAACAAGCGTGAAGTGATTGAGTTCGCTTCCAACATGGAAGCGGATGAAAACCCGGAGTCCGAGTCTTTAACAGATGCAGAGCCCGAATCAGGGATCCCCTTGACAGCACAGGCCGACAAGGAACCTTCAGAGACAATTTCTAATTCCGGAAATGGCCGGAGAAGAGGCAAGCGTCGAGTGCTGAAGAAGAAACGAATCTTGGATGATCAAGGATACATGGGTATGTGCGGCGCAGTCCAGCTTCAACTACCAGCACAACTTTATCAACTCACACTGTGAATAGTCACGATTCAAGAACCGGGGTGGGAGTCCTTTTCTGAGGATGATATCACTCCGCCAGCGAAAAAGCCCACACCGCCGCTAATGCCATCATCGTCCATGAAGGCAAAGAAAACATCAACAAAAGGCTCCCAAGGCAGTATCATGTCATTTTTTGCAAAGAAATAACTGTACATGGCATGCGAGGGAATAAAATGCTTTGATGAGGTGAATAGTGGAAATACTAAGTCTTTGTTAGTAGTAATGTACGAAACTCGATGATTCTTCGGTCTTCGACTTCCAGTTCTCGTACTGCGCTGGATTTTCCAACATTCGTTTGAGTAAAGAGCCCAATCGCTGAATACCCTCAACTATGGCATCCTCCGCCTCCCATGCAAAGCAAATTCGAATGTCACCTTTGAACGGAGCACTGCCATCGTCCCCGTGAACCTCAAACATGCGTCCATAACCTATCGCGAGATTCTCTTCTTCCATCGCGACGTCGGCGACTAGCTGGGAGCTCAGTGACAGTTCTGCTTTCGGAGACAGCCAGATAAAGTATCCACCATAGATTCGAGCTCCGGTAAGACTCGTTTCTCGGGCACGGTAGCCCAAAGGCGTAATGTATTGATGAATTGCGGTCATGGCGAGCTTATATCTCCTCTGCAGAGATGGACAGACCGTGCGAGCTATGTGCTTCTGTAGTTCGCCAGTTCGGAGAGTCTCACCCAGTATCGCTGCGCACAGCTGACTCGGTGCTCCGCCTGAAAGTGTGGAAGCAGTGTTACCTAGCCCAATGACGAACTTTGAGGAGGCTTCAACCCAACCTGTGCGGACTCCCGGCCCAGCGATTTTACTAAAGGATCCGTTGCTGACGGTGTAACCAAATTTGTCTGGGTCCTGCTCCGAAAATCCCAATGATCGTTCAATGTCGCATAGCCTAGGCAGTCTCAAATAACTCCTGTTACCCTGTTCATCTTCGGGGTCAACGGACCACTGTAGAAAGTCGTACACGTCATCACAGACTACGAGAGCATTGTGACCCCGTGCCAGGTGTACCAACTCTTCACGTCGTCGAAGAGACATGGTTTTCCCAGAAGGGTTTGCGCAAGTTGGTACAATGTACACGACATGTCTATACAGCTTCCTTGTTGTGTCATGAGGTTTGACCGGCTGTAAGATTGTTAGATCGGGTGAGTACATGTTGGCCACTGGCATTTTCCGGCCAACACTCACCTTTGCCTGCGGTTTTGCTTGTTCGTCTTGTTCTAGCTCCCTGATTTTGTTTTGCAGGACCACCAAGTCGATGCCCTCGTCATCTTCCGGTACTGCACGTAATTTTCCAGCAAATCCTGAATCTTCGAAAATTCCACAGGCCAGGTAATAACAAGGAGCAATTATCCAAATGGCTTTGGTATAGTTTGGGTCAGTAAAGCTCTGGAGAATGCAAGCCAAGCTCTGGCTTGCTCCGCCCGTGACACAAATGCGGCTTGGATCTGGGTTGACATTATAATGCTCGCCAAGCCATCTGGATAACTCGTTCTTCAGTGTTGGGTGACCTGTATTTGGACCATACTGGAGAATAGGAATATACTCCTGACGGCGAAGGAGAACTTGTTGGCAGGCACTTGAAAGCATAGCAGCTGGCAAAACATCTGGTGACGGCCAGCCACGCATGAGATTGATGTGGTTTCTCCCACTCAACAAATTCGATTCCATGCTGGTGTGGGATAGCTACCTAGCGAGTGGATTCAATCGCGGCCGGGAAAGCTTCGATTCTAAGCACTTCCTCCTCTTGCCCTATGTTAGGTACGTACGTAGGCGGCTTCAGGCGCAGTTTCTGTTTCCGGTCGAAGCAATAGTCGGAAAAGAAGACTTTTGAGGCCTCAGGAAACCAAGCTCGGGCTTTTACTGGCCTGGAAAGCTGCCTCATGTGAGAGCTGGGAGGCTGATGACTGTTGAACTGTTGTGCGTAGATGATGAATAGAAGAACCTGGCTCCCCGTAATAGGTCTCGTACAGGGCTGCTGCATTTTGCACTGCATGTCCGAAGTGGGTTAAGTCTACGGAGTAGTCGTGTGCCACCCAGGAACATGATGCAAATCTGACGAACCAGATTTATTCCTAGCTTCTTCACGGCTCGAGCAGCCAGCACCGTGAATGGCCACGAGGCGAAAAAAAAAAGCAAAGATTTTTCACCCCCGATGGACATACGCTGGAAGGCAGTAGTAGTACTCCGTACGTATGTACATATTCATCAAAGCAGCAGGCAAGACATTATTTCAGTATCCCGTACAGCAGTAAAAGTGGAGTGGGGTCGGTTTAATCCTTTCCCTTTCCTCTACCATTAACATTGGGCATTAAAACATCTACAAAATATATATCACCTGAGTGCGTGCATCAACAAACAAAACGACATCATACCCAGTCCGAGCAACCAGAGAAGAACCTCATGGTTCATATGGCGATGACCCGGGACCAAATATCAGATGTGGCTTTCGCTTTGCAATATCAAGGATGGTATTCGCAAAAACACCATTTGCCCAGGCAAACCAACTGCGTGTGTACTGTCGGACGTGATTTACATTTACGCTTTCATGCACCAGGCCAAGTTTGGAGGACCGAAGGACTAGATCAAGGCACGCCTTGATCTCATCATCATCTCCTGTGGTCTGTGCTTGAATTAGAAGACTCATCGGCCATGCATTCCGCAGCCCAATATGCGGCCCTTATCAAATCAGATCAGTTGATTCTGTTCAAAAAAAAAAAAAAAAAAAAAAATAATCATTTGATTGCTTACCGCCGATGCCCTCGAAATCCTTGCCTTTCAGGTAGTAAGGATTGCCCAGTTTTTCTAGTATCATTTTTCTTGTATTTTTGTAAATTGGATCTTCAATTCCACAAAACCCCATCAGGGGCAAGGCTAGCAGAGATGGATAATTTGCATCGTCCATCATGATGGCAGAACCGTAGCCATCAACTTCGTACGCAAAAACTTGTCCGTACTTTGCGTGGGTGACCACGCCGTGCTCCCAGACAGCGGAGCGTAAAGTCTCACCCCACTTCTCCAGCTTTTCTGCCAAAGATGCTTTATTTGAAGCCTTGAGAAACTTGGAGGTCCGGCGCAGCTCAACAGACATCATCGCGTTCGCAGGGATAAAGAAGCCTAAGATCGTGGCGTCATCACTAGGTCTGAATGCGGAGCGAATGAGACCTGTGCCGCTGTTAAGGGGGTTACCGTTTCCTTGCAAACTGAGTGTCTCTGTGCCAGCGCTTGTCCGTCTCTGAAAAGTGTACTCATTTCTCGAATGATCTCCCGTTTCCGGGTCGAACGTCGGCTTTGACTGCTCTTCTAGGACTTGTAGGAGGGTTTCCACTGCGAGATACCATCGGTTGTTCAAGAAATCTGTCGAGCCTGTGTGTTCATAGAAGTCGTTCGCCAGCGCCAAGAAATGGGCTAGTGAATCAAGTTCGTACTTGCACTCGAATACAGCGCTGGGTTCATATGCTGGATGGACAACGTCGTCCTGACCATTGGACGTTATTGGAAGATCACTAATGGGAGGAGGCTGGAACGCATTGCAGTATGGAGCCTCAATGACGTACTCCGCCTGGGTGTTGATGGCGCCCAAAATCAAGTCAAAAATGGCGGGATCTTTCTTTGCCAGTGTTTGATATGGACGCAGCTGGTTTGTCGAGTCCCGCAGCCACTCGGCAATTATATCCCCCGTAATTATGAAGGAGTGATGTCCTTGCCAGGCGCCGTCATCCAAGACGGTTCGCGATCCGCCGAATCGAACGAAGCCGGTATCTCTGCCTTTGTTGTGGAATTTAATAGTCGTATCGGTTGTTGACGGGAAAGCGTTCTCGAATAATCGTGCCAGGTCTGGGTCCTTCATCCGTGTCGTGATGTCTGTTATAACTTTCTCAATTTCATCAGAGTGAAATGTCCGACATCGTCGCTCGGGCCTTTGAAAGGGAAGTGCGAGAGGCCCAGTACTCAGAGGCTTGCTACGATCATTAGCAACTCACGTCAGCACACATTGGTAAACACTGAAAGTACTTACTGGGGATAAGACGCATATGACGCATAGTCGGGGCAAGCATCAGCGGTATTGTGGATTGGAAGCTGAGGCTCTTTGTTGGCTATTGCTAGACGGATGTTCACATAGAGCAGCGTACAGAACGGGCCTGTCACGCGCATGGTGAGAAAATGGTGGAACTGTCAACGACACGCAATAGAGATGGATGTCGGGATACGGAATACAATCCAGAGACAAGTGCAGAGTACCTGGTGTTGATGATGCAAAGGTCCTGAAGTCAGGTTCAAAGCCGCTGCAATGCAGGTGTTCAACATGGCATCCTCTGTTGTTTCAAACTGATGTCTGCTGAAACGGGCGCGACGTAACTACTTAAGTACCTAGGTAGTTAGTTAGTAGTACAATCTAACCCCTGTAAGTTGAGCCATAAGTGACCTATTTATAGGGGCTTTACTACTAATAATAATAGCTATTAATTATAATTTATAAAAGAGTAATATTTTTTTATATTAACTTATTAAGAGGAGTTCTTTAAATTAGCTTATTAAGTACTTAATACCCCTTATATACTTTTCATAATAGTCCTTTTCAATTAGTTATAACCCCCCTTACCATGTCACGCCTGGCTAAACATTCAGTGCTCCAACTGTACTCCAATCTCGGGTCAGTTTATGTTTCAACAGCTATGGTGGGGCAGCGGTAGCGGGCTTTTGTGGAGAAGGCGCTCCTCGTACGTACTACTATATACTCTTTACAATAGAGCAAGGTATTTGAAAAAGTTCCACGAAGTGGTAGTCAGTAATTTCGGGGGCTAATTCACCTGCGTGTCTGAAGAAACTGTCCATCTCGGCCTTGAGGTTTTTAAACCGAAAATATCGCGATAATGTCGATGCGATGTGGTTTACATGCGTAGAAAAACGGTTCTAAACGTCATCCGTTATCAAGAAGTAATTCATATATTCGGGTATCAAGGAACACTCTATCTGTCATCGAAAACAAAAATCATCCTCATAAATTCCAAAAAACCAGATGTAATGCCAAACCCCTCCTGACATCCCAACCTACTTAGTCACTCCAGTAGGCAACCGGATATGCAGCTCTGTACCCCGTACTCCCGACATAAAGCACAATATGCTAGAAAATTGATGCAGTGGGTTATTCCCTTCACCAGCCCCACGTTCGACTGGATGCAGTGAACACTGGCGGCTTCCACTGTATGCGCCCCGGGTCAAGCACCCGTCTCAGTTTCAGTTTTTGTTTTTCTCTCTGCTTAATGAGGTTCTCCGGGATGACAATCTTATGGTCGCTTTTGTGGTATACTTGCATTTTCATGGCTTGAAGGGTGTGTTCGACATCCTGCGTGGTCATAGCGAGAGCAGAAGATATTGCTTCAATGGTGACTTTGTCGTCCCGCTCATTGTACCCCATGAGCAGATCAAGAATGTTCTCTGACCAGTACTGACGATAGCTCAGCAGACCTAAATCAGAGAGCGGTTTTTCTGGTGACCCTAGCTTGCCTTCTATTTTAGAAAGCTCGTATGAAAACTGTATCAGAAGCCGCCCATACCCTTTTCGCTGATACTGAGGCAAGGTCAGAATGCAGGCAACATTGTATCCATCTGCACTCTCTTTTTCCTTGGAAAAATATCCAACGATATGGCAGCCCTTATCCGTTCGGCTAGCCATAACGTAGAAAAGAAACGGATCAACGTCGTAGTAAAGTGTTTTATGATCAAGAAACATCTTAGATAGGAGGCAGAGATTTCTGCACCAAGTTCGCTGCCGGCGTCCATCAATCTCAAAAAATGAGACGTAGTCATCTCGATATATCTCGTTCCCTGGGGGATGCTGCAATGTGCACTTTTTCCTATGTCGCAGAAACGCTGTCTCGTCCCCATAGTAGCTCAGGCAAAATTCGCATATGAAGATAACATCTTCTTGGCTGAAAACCTCGGGGTAAGGAGAGAAATACCAAGGGAACAGGTCATTCTCGCCGAATTGAACCTTCGATATATTTCTTATACGGGAGATCTCAGCAGGGTTTTGAGTCATAGATCCGGAGGTCCTTAGTTTCTCAATCTCTTCTTCCCGACTGAATTCACCTTCCTCCTTCTTAACATCGTCGTCTTTGTCATCCACTTCTATGTCGTCCGCTGCAGCCGGTGTTGTAGTTGCGTCGGCGCTTGCTTGCGTCTGTGAATCAACATCGGGACCAACGGATGATGTCTGTCGTTGCTGTTGAGACTCTACAAATTCTGATGGCTGCGTGAGCTGGGCGTCTCTTTGAACCATAAAAGCATGTAACACGTACCTGACCATGGGTGAGGCGTTGCAGCCTCTGATTGAATCGACTGCTCTCTTTTACTGGGTCGCTTTTGCCCCTTCTTGGGGACTTGGGCTTTCTTGGTCTGCGATGTCGTCTTTTTGGCTTTGGGTTCTTTTGACTTGTCTTTGTCAGGATTTGGCCATTCCACTTCTTGTGTGAAGTCAATTCTTGTGACTGGAACCCATTCATCAAGTCGTTTATTAAAATTATCGAAGTTGCAATAGAATTGCTTTCCGCTCTTGGTCTCCTTAATGCTGAGAATTTCCGCGCGTCGCGGTTGGCCATCCTTGACCACCCAAGCTATACAGCCCGTTTTCAGCGTATCAGGAGTCGCTATTCCCCTTTGTCGCGGTGTGTCTGATCCGACAGTGGGTTCTCCCGCTGGTGTTCCCACAGCCATGATGAAGTTGGTGGATGACGACGGATTCTTGATGATTTAAAAAAAAAAACCGCAAAATCTCTACGCCAATACAGGAAAATAGTTACAGATGGTTGATGCGGCAGTTGAAGGCTCCATTGTAGAATTAAGCAGGCGGTGTGTTCAGATAACTTAACTTGGTAACTACCTAGGTACCCCCCATATACGTTAGCTAATACCTCTTTATATGCATAATTGAACCTAGGGTAGGCATGAATACGACCCGCGACCACATTCTCATCCCCTGTACTTGTTCTTCCAGCATCCCAGCGCTTAGTACTGAGTATGTACTTGGATCATGGCTGAGTTATCTTCCAACTGGAAGAAGCTCCAGGCAAGGCTCAACCCTGGCAAGCAAACACAACGCCCATCTTTGAAGCGTAATGCAGAGGATGAGACGTCAAGCACATCTAAGTTACCTAAGTTTTCAGCAAAGGTTTCTCCAAGGCCCACCCAATCTTTAAACACTAAAGTCAAGCGGATTGCGAATATGGGCGGGGTGCATAGTTCCGGAGTGGGAGATGAATCCAACACTGGCCAGTCACCATCCATCGGGCTTTGGGCGACAGACCGGGGCGTTTCGAGTGAGGCCCTAGCAGACGCATATGGCCTCGGTATCAAAGAGAGTTCAGTGCCCGTGGCTTCTTATAACGATAGAGTCAATCACGGTCGATCATGCAATGTCGATGTTGGAAAATATGTTGGACTGGATTGTGAAATGGTTGGAGTTGGCCAAGGGGGGCATGAGTCAGCTCTGGCTCGAATCAGTTTGGTTGACTTTCATGGACGACAAATTTACGATTCTTATGTGAAGCCAAGGGAACGGGTCACTGACTGGAGGACGGCTGTGAGTGGCGTATCCCAAAGAGAAATGAGGTTTGCGAGAGAGTTCGAAGAAGTTCAACGCGAAGTATACGATATCATCGAAGGACGGATCTTGGTTGGACACGACATAAAGCATGACCTAGATGCGTTGAAACTGAGCCATCCTCCGAGGGATATCCGAGATACCGCCAAACATCACGCATTCAAGAAATACGGACATGGGCGAAAACCTTCTCTACGAGTTCTGGCTCGAGAACTTCTAGCTACTGAAATACAAGAAGGTCCACATTCTAGCACTGAGGATGCACGCGTCACTATGCTCATTTTCCGAAAATACAAGCCGAGTTTTGACACCGAGCACGCAAATCGCTACCAACAAAGGACTCCTCCAACCACTACAAGGAAATCCAAGAAACATAGAAGGAAACAATAATCTTACTCTGAACTACCACTACAATGGAGCATGGCCTGCGGTGTGGAGTCTTCATTTTTTGGGAGGCAACGATTGTCAATGGAACAATATAACACTGTCGGAAAGAGTAGCATGCTCAATCAAAATTTGCATCACAGGGACCACGGGAAAGTACGAAGGGGTTTCTTGCTCCCTTGAAAACCAACTGCGATTTGGACACGGCGCGTTTATCTGGTATTTATAGCGGGATTCCTTCTAGCAACTCTATAGCACCTTCTCGCCCGACAGTAATGATTACATCTCCTAGGGTTTTTGTGGCAAAACCAGCTTCGCAGTATTTGAAGTAATACTGTGGACGACCATGTTAGTGAAATTGACGAGACGAAAACACGACATCGGGGTTTCTTGCCTCCCATTTTCTTCGAAAGACCTCAATAGCGTCTTTCGTCATTCCTGGGTGATTATGCAAGAGTGCGGGCTTGATTTGACTGTCAAAATGACTCTGGAAGTTTTCGTTCCACAAGCGTAAAGTCTTGGCATAATGCCCACCGATATTCTCCACCTTCTCGATTATGAGCGTGCCATGCGACTGCTCGCTGATATGGCTCAAAAGTTGTGTGATTGAGGGCAAGTATCCTCCCGGGAATATGTATTGGTTGATAAAACTGTGTTGTAATGTTACCTCGTGTGAACATGCATAATGGGATTCGAGCATTATAAAAACGTACTCTACTGATTTGGAGTATGCCTCATGACGGTTCTCAGGCATCGTTATACACTGGAACATCGCGATGCCTCCGTCCGGCTTGAGGAGCCTATTCACACGATCAAAATAAGTGCCCAGATACTCCTGGCCAACTGCTTCGAGCATTTCGATAGACACAATCTTGTCGTATGGCTTTTCAGGGACCGGAAGTTGGCGGTAGTCTGTCAACATGATCTCGATCCGTTCATGGAGTCCAACAGCACGCACTCGTGCCTCTGCCAACTCTTTTTGCTCTTTTGAAAGTGTTATGGACGTTACTCTGCAGCCAGTTTTGCTGACAGCTTCAATGGCAAAGGAGCCCCAGCCAGTGCCTATCTCAAGGACATGGTCTGTCGCTTTGAGCTTTGCGCCCTCGATAAAGCGAGTCAGTTTCCTCTGCTGGGCGGCTTCTAGACTCTCGTCACCTAGGCCGGAATCTATCCGAGTTTGCCACACTGGGCAAGAATATGTCATGTCGCTAGAGAGGAAGGCAGCAAACATGTCGTTACTAATGTCATAGTGTGCCGAAATGTTCAATAGTGAATTGGAGAGGGTATTGGTGGATCTAGCAAGATATGATAGTGAAGATGAGATCCTAGACACGACCGTGGTTCCGTTGCGCATGCGGTCTCTGTTGATGATGAAGAGCTGCATGCACGCACATTGGTCATTGCCATGTTCATATACCAAACCAATGCGGAACCCTAGTGGAAGCTCACCTGGAAAAATGAAGTCAGATCTTCGCAAATGACATCTCCAAGCATGTATGCCTCAGAAAATCCTATATCAGCGAACAAAAACAGCCGCATCCAGAATGTCTCTTTCTTGATAACAATCTCCACGCGAGGCGTAGTGCAAACTCGCCTCTCGTGAGTACCCGTAGGCGACAGGTCAGCGCCAGAAGAGAGCTTTTGACCAAACACATGCCGAGTTCCGCCAGGTTCATCGACAAGTAGAAGCGTGCCGGTGTCGATGCATGATAGAGTAGTGAGAATGGCGGATCTTGCTACAGACACGGCAGGTGCCCAGGCCAAGCCAACTATCGTACTGCGGACCATGTCTGATCCATCTCTCAGATGCCTGTTGAGGGTTTCCGGCAATACTGGTAGCTGCATTGTATGGAAGAAAATTTACTGCGCACACGCTTGAAGGGATTGGCAGCAGTCAGTCTACGAAGTGATACTTGGGTAACTCATTCGATGGGCTCTTGCAGGGTTTTAAGTTTTAGTCCTGCAACATGTAAATGCTATCGATTCCATGTACGCGGCGGACTCGGGTAGAATCTATGACACGTTCCGAAACGCTCGGACGTGTGGACCAAGTGCCGCCAATTGATGACCCTGGATGCTGGGCACGGTCTACGTGGATGCCCAGATGCCCGTCGTTCTTAACAGTAGTAGCCCATTTCTACGTTTCCAGATGTCAATGTACGCTGGTGTAACCCCGCCTCGATACAGAGGATGATGATGAGCAAGACCACGGCGATAATCAACAATACCGAGGTCATTGATTGATTGGCCAACCTTGGGTTTGAGAGATACCGGATCAGTCCAGCTGTACTCCGTACACAGAAAGAGTATAGAAATTAAACTGAGCCTGGGGACGATAAAGACCTGAAGCATGACAAGCCATACAAGACAGCTCGTAAGAAATTTTTATTTAACTCATTAGACCTCTGATAATTGGTGACAATTTACTAGAACATCAATTGATGTCGTGATAGCTGTTGGTAGGCAGGTTAGGTGATGACATGACCCTAGGGTAGGCAGCAGCAGTAGGTACTCAGCCCACATGGTGGCATTGTAGTAGGTGTCGCGTTGGAAACCAGATCGACGCGTCTCGACCCAGTTCTACTCAACAGTTCTTGAAGAGTCAAGTCTAGAGCGGTGCATCCTGATCACTTCAATCAATCGATAGTACTTACTTCACCCAAGTACTTGCCTCCTCAAACAAGCGCCTCAAAATAGCCCAAGAAAGCACGACAAATCTGCGTGTCGCGGGGTTTGCGACGATACTGAGATCCCAGCATGTCACCACCCATACTCTCGATTACCGACGACATAACACAGGGTGCTTCAGTTCCTAACTTGATGCCATGTCGAATTCAACACGACGGGCCAATTGACCAAGCCGCCACCTACTGGACGCCCTGCACAACCAAAGGTAGAATTACCCGCCGAGATACATCCCGATACGAACAACAACTGGTGCTGACCTCTAGGCACCCAGGCCCAGCCAAGGAATCGTATTTTAGAGGGAAGAAATTAAAAGGGACGAAGTTCTCATTGCCAGAAGAATACGAAGGGCTTGTTCTGCAACCTACACCTGAAGATCAGACGATGAGCAAAGGCATAAATTCCGCAGTGCCCCCAAAAAACAAAGAGGCTGAAGAATCAACCAAGAGTTGTAGCCTTCAAATCCTCTCCAGATTCCAAGGCATTATTGTATGGAGACAGGACCACTCTGGGAGTGACTCGCCTGATTTGTATACCCGGTCATTGGATGAATGGCTCAAGACTGCTAACAAGGCAAGTACAATATGTTCTAGCATGTCTGACGATACAGCCGCTGATTGTAGTAGATCCACACACCCTAGCGCTCCGCTGAGAGACGAGGCTCTGTTGACGAATGCAGATTCGGCTGGAAATGAGGACGCTTTATGTCTCAAGCTCAATCATGGCTCAGAACCTGCCAGGTTCTTTAATATTTCCGGGGCATATCGTCGTGGAATTTCTATCAGATATTACAAACAGCTCGCCCGGGTGAGGCAGGGCTGAGCATGAAATACTTCAAGGTCTCGGCGTTTTTAGCCTATCATGGTGGTATTATCAAGTTTTTTATTTTATTTTTTAATACCGAGTTATTTATTGTTTCCCTCTCAAGACAGATGATAATACAAGGATGATGCGAGAATCGTGCAAGAATCGTGCAAGAATTACATCTGAAAACACAATATTTGGCCGCACTAAGCCAGAGAACAGTTAAAGACTACCAAATACACCATATTATGGTGGTATGAATATATACCATGCCAAATCCCCCAAAACTGCCTATAACATAAAATATAGTCGCCTGACATGGCGGCCTGGCACTGCCTGACATGTCCGCAGGATTCTAGACGGTGAAACAAGCTGCCTCTAAATGTACCAATCGATGGGGAAGGCCAGATGACAACCCTCAATTTCAGGTTCGCAACTAATACTGCCTACTGGTAGTGAGTAATTATGAGCCACGATATCAAGTCACTACAATTTAACCACCACATTCTGGCAGAACTGCAGGAGTCCTCCTTGAACAAAGGGTGCTTGCTATTCGCCACCAGGCAGGTATTAGCTAGTTCAAAAATAGCACAATAGCAGGTGCCTTTGGTCTTAGCGCCATCGTTTACGCAATCAATTAAAATCGCGCCAGAAGTGCCCCTCCCACGCGTCTGAGACGCGCATCGCGTTACGCCTTTGCGCCTTTCTCTCAACCGGTTACTGCAGCATGGAGAATTGGCAATACATCTGAGGGACCTTTACAATCTGGCACGAGACCTCCAATCCTCAGGTCGGAGTCAATTCTTTCCCGGCTATCGAACCTCTTTACACCCGAATACTCCAATTTCCTGTACGAGCAGCCGCCCGCCTCGGCAGAGGCAACGCAGTACCCCGCTAGGTGCAGACCCGAAAGATCATCGTCGTGCGCAATGGCTTCTAGTGATGCTGGATACATGATGTCCGATGCGCCGTTGCAAAGACGACATATGGCCTTCCCTTCTTCTTCCTCAACTCGCCCGAGAGGACCTCCGTCGGAGAACCTTGGTGCTGCTAGTGACGACGAGGGTGATGCTTTTGCCGATGACCAAGTCCCGCGAAGTTCACGCATCCCGGATGCCGCCAGCGTCCCTCGCGTTGAGGACCGAATAGGAGTACTTGTTCAAGAGCATTTTGAAGCGTTCATTGAGAGGTAAGCGATGAAATTCTGGTAAAAGCCCATGCTCAAAAATCGATCAAAAATAACATCGAAATAATCCTGCAGTTTTGCCGAAGATCCACTATCAAGCGCACCAACTTCGAGCGCTGTCACTACAGACAAATACTATGTAGCACAAATCAGGTCGATGAGAAATATGCAGCTTTCTACGTTCTACGTTGACTACAAACATCTCGCTGCGTGGGAAAATGGCAGTTTGGCTGATGGAGTAATGCGCCAGTATTATCGATTTTTGCCTTTTCTTACGGTAGCTCTACACAATATGATCGCAAAATACGAACCGCAGTATTTTCGGGAACAT